GCACGGACGCCCGTCCAGATGTGCGGCGGGGGCGGGGCCACTCCCAGCTGCGCCCGTGGGCGTGGCCTCAAGCCCCGCCCCCGGTGACGTCACCCGCGTTCTAATTCCCCCCGTTGCCACAGGCAACGGCCCCTCCGGTCCTGCCCCCTCCCTCTCCGCGCTCCCATTGGGCGGCGCCTCCGTCAATCATCGGCATCCCGCTCTCCCATTGGCCGGCCAGGGGTTACGCCCCGCCCTCCCCGCCCCGCTTATCCCCCGCGCCGCGAGGGATCCGCCCCCGGGATCGCGCCGGGATTTGGGATCGGCGGGGCCGCCCGGGGGCTCCGGGGGCGAGCGGGGACACCGAGCCGGGAGTTTGGGGGCGTCCGAGGTGGGGTATGAACGCTGGAGGGTTCGGAGCGGGGCGGGGTTTGGCTCTTTAAAGGAGTTTGGGGGGGGGTCGCCGTGGCTGGAGCATCTCTAGAAAGGGGGGGGTTTGGGAGGTTCCCACCCTATTTTGGGGGGAGTCTATAAGGGGAAGGGGTTTAACCCCTGTAGAGAGCTCCCCAAGATGGGTTTTGGGGGGTTTAACCCCTCTCCGCGGCTGGGGTAGCTCTGTAAGGGGAGTTATTGGGGGTTTAAACATCCCCTTTTTTAGGGTCGCTCTGCAAGGAGAGGGGGGTTTAACCCTGCACCCCAACTAGGGAAGTTATTGGGGGTTTTAAACTTCTCCCCCTATTTAGGGTCGTTCTGCCGGGGGGGTTGGCGAGGGGGGGGAGGGTTTAACATCCCCCTCCCGTTTAGGATAGTTCTCTAAGGGGGTTTGGGGAGACTTTGACCCCCGTCCCGAGCTGGGGTAGCTCCGAAAGGGGAATTATTGGAGGTTTGAACCCTCTCCCCTCTTTTAGGGGAGCGGAAAGGGGGTTTTGGGGGGGGTCACCCCCATCTAGGATAGCTCTGCAAGGGGAGTTTTGGGGAGTTTAAACCCCCCCTCCCCCCCAGTTTAGGGTAACTCTACAAGGGGGTTTGGGAAGGTTTAAACACCCCCCCTATTTAGGGCAGCTCTTGCAAGAGGAGTTTAACTCCCCCCCTAAATATTTAGGGGAGTTTGGAGGGTTTAACTTTTCCCCCACCTCATCTGGGGTAGCTTTAAAAAGGGGATCTGTGGGGTTTTGTGTCCCCCCCCTTTTCCCCCTGGGGTATCTGTGCAGGGGCTTTGGGGTTCACATCTGGCCAGATGTGAAGTGCAGGGGGCTAGAGGGGGTTTAAAACCCCCCCCAAACCTAGGACAGAACTGGGGTCTAGTCCAGAACAACCAGAGCAGCCCAAGGAGGGGTCACTGAGCCCCCAAAGCTCCGTGTGGGGTCAGGAGGAGCCCCCAAAGCTCCGTGTGGGGTCAGGAGGAGCCCCCAAATCTCTGTGTGGGGTCGAGAGGAGCCCCCAGCTGTGGGCCCAGCCCTCCCACCCTGTGGATGCTGCGCCCCTGGAGATGATGCCCCCCGAGGAGGAGAACCTGGGTGGCCCCAGGAAAGGGGACAGGACCGGTGGCCTCGTCCTCCTGCCCGGCCCCAAGAGCGGCAGCGCTCGGAAGGTGAGACTTTGGGGGGTCAGGAGGGATTTTAGGGGGTCGAGGGGGCTCCAGGGGGCTGGGTTGGTGTCCCCATGGGATCCATGGGAATCAGGGACCATCCCTTGGGCGTCATCCCCCACCCCCGGGGCTCGAAGGGGCTTTGGAGTTGCAAGAAAACCTGGATAAATGTTAATTTGGGGGCTATTTCGGTGTGTTTCTCATTAGTTTTGTGCCCTGGGAGCCAATGGAATAATTAATGATGGGTCTATAATAATTAATTAGTGACAGGGGGGGTGAAATCCCTGGGGATTGTCCTCAGGCTGCCACCAACCCCAGTCCATCCCTGCCATCACCACCCACCCCTGGGGTTGAAAGGGCTTTAGAATTACAAGAAATCCTGAATAAACGTTAATTTTGGGGCTATTTCAGCGTGTCTCCCATCAGGTTTGTTCCCTGTCATTATTCCCCAATGGAATATCGGGGATCCCCTTTTTTGGGGTGCAGGCCTGACACCCCGCTGGGGGTGCTTTGATCCCAATTCTCCCCATATTTTGGGGTTTTTCCTCCTTCCTGCCCACAGGAAGATGCTCCAGTTGGGTGTTGCCCATCCCTCCTCTGGCTCTTGGAGGTGCTTGTCCAAGGTGTTGCTTCCTGGCAAGTTTTCCCTCAGGAATTGCCCTTCCCTCTTGGAAAGTTTGGCTTTGGGGGTGAGATGGGACCAGTAGATCTACTGTTTAAAGTTGTTTAATTAGTGATAGGGGGGGGTGAAATCCGTGGGGATTGTCCTCAGTTTGCCACCAGCCCCAATCCCTGCCTTCCCTTGGGAATCAGCTCCCATCCCTGGGCTCAAAAGGGCTTTGGAATTGCCAGAAAACCTGGATCAGTGGTGGGTTTGGGGGCTGTTTCAGTGTTGGTTTTGTCCTCTGAGAGGCAAAGGATTAAACCTGCAGAAACTCTGTAAAACCCCAAACTAAACCTCAGACCCCCCCAAATAAACCCTAAACTGAGCTTCAGACCCCCAAACTAAACCCTAAACTGACCCTCAGACTCCAAACTAAACCCTAAACTGAACCTCAGACTCCCAAATTAAACCCTAAACTGAACCTCAAAACCCTAAACTGAACCTGAGACCCCTAAACTAAACCATAAACTGAACTTCAGACCCCCAAACTAAACCCTAAACTGAACCTGAGACCATAAACTAAACCTCAGACCCTCAAACTAAACCCTAAACTGAACCTCAAAACCCTGAACTGCACCCCAGACCCCAAACTAAACCCTAAACTGACCCT